TTACAGCGTTCAAGAGCCCATCATACGATCTATGTTGGATAGTTCACACATATTCAACATCAACAATCCTAGAATTGCAGTTTTTTCTCCATATACGGGGTCTTAGTTTCTACGAAGATGTGAAAAGTTTACACGTTCGTCGTGCCATTAAAACGTCGGCATTGGAAGTGAATAGACGGTACTGCTCTGAGGAAGCGCGAATTATTACTACATCATGCAGTATCCTCCAAATGAATATCTTACAACCATTACTATCATGACTTCATATAAATAAGAGATGGGCTTCCGTGTACAGTGACAATGCACTTTGCTGAATCTTGCCGCATAACATATTTTGACGTTCTCCAATTATGTAGTCGAAGCGCCATCACGGGTGGATGTACAACGATTACTATGACTTCATATATTCATACATATAAGAGATGCGCTTCTGTGTACAGTGACAAGGCGCTTTGCTGAATCTTGAATTGCCGCATAAAACATTTTGACGTTCTCCGATTATGTAGTGGAAGCGCCATCACCGATTAATGTTTATTATCCGTCTTTTTTGTTTGTTTTTGTTTGTTTGTTACGTGACAAATGTCACAACAAAGCTTGACCGAGTTAACACATTTGTCGTGCCGGTAACATGTCGGCATGTGTAAAGAAACTTGTAACGCTATTGCCTAATATCTATTTCTATCATTTTGTCCAACCATAATGATCAACTGGTATTAATCATCATCGAGCGCCGATACAATGAATAATAGTTTCTAATCTATAGTTTTCTTTAATGACTAACTTTTAAGTGCATAGCAATATGCCAATTTTGTTCATTTTTCATGCAATTAAACACAGACTATAAAATGGCAAAATATGCTAAATTTAGACTCTGTCTCAATTTACCGACACTGACCGAGTGATGGCACTTGAACTCCTCGTAATGCTTATCCAACAATGTCGGAACAAGTTCTCACCTGCGAGAAAATAAAAGTCGTGTTAGTTCAATCTGACCCGACATTCTTCGCGCCTTCTTTGAAATTACTGTACTCGCCGCGTGTAATATATGTATCCTGAAGAGATACTCATTCATTGCGATCAAGATTCGCCGGGCATGTCAAAGCAGCAAGGTATTCCTCAGATGAAACATTATGGCGGTTCGATTGATACACTGGCAGAGGAGTTTAATCAGACTTTACAAAAACACCAGCCTGTTGCCGCGTCATATATGTTGGAACTTTACAACGCCATGCAGAACAATGACGGCAGTAATTTAAGATATGAAAAAAGGGCTATCAGAAAATCAGACACCATTAAAAGTTTTTCTACAAGGTTATTAGGTGAGTAATACAATATTATTTATAACAATGTAAGCATGTGACAAAATTTATAGCGATCCATTCGGCAAATCAAATTCCATGCGATTGAGCTTTTCTTATTTATCCTTTCCAGGCATTACTCGCCATGAAGCAACTTCACAACTGCTGTATCGTTACACCTTTGATATTGGTGTTCTAAATCGTGGAGACAAACTCCGGCTTGCTGAAGTCAGATTACCGTTTCCAGATTACCACATCATAAAGAAGGTCCGGATCACGCTTTATGAAATCATTGAAGTACGTTGCCAAGAAGACAACAACAAAACTTGCCATCAACGGGATTCAGTTATTTCACAGAGAGTGAAAAATGTATGTTTAAAAAATAACAACGCCATGGTTTGTTGAAAGTCACCAAACTTGTCAGACGATTGGTGAAGTCGAAGAGTGTAAATTTCACCTTAGAACTCGGTATTGCATATGACAACGATGATACTTTGAAGACAAAAATGTGGGTTATCAACAATGAAGCCATACTGGTTACATTCACACAGACACAGAAGAAGTACAAGAAATCTGACAAGAGACTATATCGCCAGGAAAAAAATATGTTTCCTGTTAATCGTGTCATACGAGCTCCTAACGAATCCAGTGGAAAACGACAGAAAAAGAGAGGAAATGGCAAGAAAAATAATAAGCTAGTTGACAGACCTGCATATCCATGTGAAAAATCTGATCTAATGATAGACTTTGAGAAAATTGGATGGAGCGCTTGGGTTATTTTTCCAAAAACTTTTAATGCTTTTCAATGTGTTGGATCGTGTTCCAGTCGAGCGGATGGTAATCCCACCAACCATGCTATTATACAGGGCATGGTCCGCAAAGTGAGTTCAAACCACGTTCCGACTCCGAGCTGTGTTCCTGTAAAATTATCGCCCTTAAGTATGATATACTATGAACGTGGCAATATCGTTGTTAAAGAACACGAAGACATGATTGTACAGGAGTGTGGTTGCAGATAGCATTATTCTACAAATTCTTTGCTTTGTACTATTAATAATGTACGTATGTATAAAACAAATTTATATATTATTGTGAACAGTTAATAATAATAATAAATATATATTAATAATAGCTTTCTATTTGTCCTCATACAACATACTCGCACTGACATTTCAATCACATATTATGATGTAAAATATACAATGAAGCAATTACGTTGCATTGCATCTTCAAATATAAGCGGTATAACGAGAGCTAAAAACCAGAAAGATATATGTCTCACATGTGCAACGGATAACGATTCGAACTAACACGAGTTTTATTTTCTCGCAGGTGAAATCTTGTTCCGACATTGTTGGATAAGCATTACGAGGAGTTCAAGCGCCATCACTCGGTCAGTGTCGGTAAATTGAGACAGAGTCTAAATTTACCATATTTTGCCATTTTATAGTCTGTGTTTAATTGCATGAAAAATGAACAAAATTGGCATATTGCTATGCACTTAAAAGTTAGTCATTAAAGAAAACTATAGATTAGAAACTATTATTCATTGTATCGGCGCTCGATGATGATTAATACCAGTTGATCATTATGGTTGGACAAAATGATAGAAATAGATATTAGCCAATAGCGCCACAAGTTTCTTTACACATGCCGACATGTTAACGGCACGACAAATGTGTTAACTCGGTCAAGCTTTGTTGTGACATTTGTCACGAAACAAACAAACAAAAACAAACAAAAAAGACGGATAATAAACATTAATCGGTGATGGCGCTTCCACTACATAATCGGAGAACGTCAAAATGTTTTATGCGGCAATTCAAGATTCAGCAAAGCGCCTTGTCACTGTACACAGAAGCGCATCTCTTATATGTATGAATATATGAAGTCATAGTAATCGTTGTACATCCACCCGTGATGGCGCTTCGACTACATAATTGGTGAACGTCAAAATATGTTATGCGGCAAGATTCAGCAAAGCGAATTGTCACTGTACACGGAAGCCCATCTCTTATTTATATGAAGTCATGATAGTAATTGTTGTAAGATGTTAATTTGGAGGATACTGCATGATGTAGTAATTATTCGCGCTTCCTCAGAGCAGTACCGTCTATTCACTTCCAATGCCGACGTTTTAATGGCACTATCAGGGGGAAATCTTCTCTCTCTCGGGTTCTCCACACTGTCAGGGGGGAAACTCGTCTCGTCTCTATATCTCGTCCCCTTGAGGTACGGGATCGGGAAAGTCACTTTAACTTTACAGTCAAATAAGCACACACAACGAAATACGTTTCAGCTCTCGTCTTAGTCGATCTTTCGAGCACTCTGTAAGACACAGCGCCCTGGGGAAAAGTCCCCAAGACTCTCGCAAGGCTGAACCAAGACTCGCCCAAGACTGGACTGCCTCAAGGCTCGCCCCTGGACTGGACTCTCGACTGCCCAGGACTGCACCCTCTCTCTACTGCGTCTATCGTGCTGTATTCGCCAAGACCAACTCAAACTCTCTTTATTCATTTTCAAAACTCTAACCAATTACAAAGCAGTAAAACGACTCTAAGGCGTAAACTTCAATCATAAAGCCAATCAAACTAAGTACTGAATACGTCATATCTTTTGATTAATCGTTCACTACATTAATAACTACGGATGTCAGAATAGCGACGGTATCTTGTAATTAGTTCCAAACCACTGAGCCAAGTTCCGTCCAAAACTTCAATTAGACCTAAACGATGACAGACATAACACAGCAATTCGCTAATAATCAACTAATTAAGTCGGTCAAGAGATACGCAAAAACAAATTCATGACAGCACGACGAACGTGTAAACTTTTCACATCTTCGTAGAAACTAAGACCCCGTATATGGAGAAAAAAACTGCAATTCTAGGATTGTTGATGTTGAATATGTGTGAACTATCCAACATAGATCGTATGATGGTCCTTGAACGCTGTAACAGTGAACCATCAAACGAAACAAGAATGAGTACATCGATATAGAAACTGTTATCCATTGTATTGGAGCTTGGTGATTAATAGCAGTTGATTATGATTGGACAAAATGATAGAAATAGATATCAGGCAATAGCGCCGCAAGGTTCTTTACACATGCCGACATGTTAACGGCACGACAAATGTGTTAACTCGGTCCCGCTTTATTATGACAATTTTCACGTAAAAATACAAAAAGACGGATAATAAACATTAATCGGTGATGGCGCTTCCACTACATAATCGGAGAACGTCAAAATGTTTTTGCGGGAAGATTCAGCAAAGCGCCTTGTCACTGTACATAGAAGCGCATCTCTTATTGTATGAATATATAAAGTCATAGTAATCGTTGTACATCCACCCGTGATGGCGCTTCGACTACATAATTGGAGAACGTCAAAATATGTTATGCGGCAAGATTCAGCAAAGCGCATTGTCACTGTACACGGAAGCCCATCTCTTATTTATTCCTCAGAGCAGTACCGCCTATTCACTTCCAATGCCGACATTTTAATGGCACGCCGAACGTGTAAACTTTTCACATTTTCGTAGGAACTAAGGCTGGAGGTAGACGATCAACTAGGTTAACTTCATTTTTTACACATGAGCATAAGGATCGATAGAGCTCTGGTAAGTTTAGCCGACACTAGGCGATGGATGGTACCAGTAGCAGCGCAATTTGTAAGCAATACAATAGCATAGTAACAACCGTGTTTATGAATATTACCGGCTGGAGGTAGACGATCAACTAGGTTAACTTCATTTTTTACACATGGGCATAAGGATCGATAGAGCTCTGGTAAGTTTAGCCGACACTAGGCGATGGATGGTACCAGTAGCAGCGCAATTTGTAAGCAATACAATAGCCTAGTAACAACCATGTTTATGAATATTACCGGCGTCATGTATTGCTCAGCAGCACTAGTTAATATGTAAGGTAAAAATACGGTTGCATTGGTTTGTCGTTTATTTATCTGAATGAGTAACAACATATAACCCTGGCGAAGCACTAGAAAACTGATTAGTATATTCACTAGGATTCGAATACATGGTCTTCAACTAGTCTTTATTTCAAATAACAGCCGACACGCTATCCGTTACGCCACAGCGACACATAATTCGTAGATTACAATTATTATTTAGACAAATAATAACGCATTGTTTTAATGCACTTCTATAAAACCCATTTTAGTTGATGTGATGGGTCAGTTGTCACTACATAACACATTAAATGCCGATTCATTTAATTTCCTTTGTCGGCAGCCATGAATAATTATATTACATTTAACACCTATAGCTCCTGAGGAGTATGTTCAATCTGACCCGACATTCTTCACGCCTTCTTTGAAATTACTGTACTCGCCGCGTGTAAATGATCTGTTGTGTTAATGTGCATTGTAGACGATATATAAGCGCTATGTGTATCGGGTACCGTCATTCAGTTTTCGTTCGTGTTCGTATTACGAACACTTGCTATGCAACGACACACCGCGATGTCTTATATGCAGTATATACTCATATTCCAAGTCACAGTAGTCTTCGTATTTGATTTTCTGGTAGCACAGAATACAAACAATATGTATCCTGAAGAGATACTCATTCATTGCGATCAAGATTCGCCGGGCACGTCAAAGCAGCAAGGTATTCCTCAGATGAAACATTATGGCGGCTCGATTGATACACTGGCAGAGGAGTTTAATCAGACTTTACAAAAACACCAGCCTGTTGCCGCGTCATATATGTTGGAACTTTACAACGCCATGCAGAACAATGACGGCAGTAATTTAAGATATGAAAAAAGGGCTATAAGAAAATCAGACACCATTAGAAGTTTTCTACAAGGTTATTAGGTGAGTAATACAATATTATTTATAACAATGTAAGCATGTGACAAAATTTATAGCGATCCATTCGGCAAATCAAATTCCATGCGATTGAGCTTTTCTTATTTTTCCTTTCCAGGCATTACTCGCCATGAAGCAACTTCACAACTGCTGTATCGTTACGCCTTTGATGTTGGTGTTCTAAATCGTGGAGACAAACTCCGGCTTGCTGAAGTCAGATTACCGTTTCCAGATTACCACATCAAAAAGAAGGTCCGGATCACGCTTTATGAAATCATTGAAGTACGTTGCCAAGAAGACAACAACAAAACTTGCCATCAAAGGGATTCAGTTATTTCACAGAGAGTGAAAAATGTATGTTTACAAAATAACAACGCCATGGTTTTGTTGAAAGTCACCAAACTTGTCAGACGATTGGTGAAGTCGAAGAGTGTAAATTTTACCTTAGAACTCGGTATTGCATATGACAACGATGATACTTCGAAGGCAAAAATGTGGGTTATCAACAATGAAGCCATACTGGTTACATTCACACAGACACAGAAGAAGTACAAGAAATCTGACAAGAGACTATATCGCCAGGAAAAAAATATGTTTCCTCTTAATCGTGTCATACGAGCTCCTAACGAATCCAGTGGAAAACGACAGAAAAAGAGAGGAAATGGCAAGAAAAATAATAAGCTGGTTGACAGACCTGCATATCCATGTGAAAAATCTGATCTAATGGTAGACTTTGAGAAAATTGGATGGAGCGCTTGGGTTATTTTTCAAAAAACCTTTAATGCTTTTCAATGTGTTGGATCGTGTTCCAGTCGAGCGGATGGTAATCCCACTAAGCATTATTCTACACATTCTTTGCTTTGTACTATTAATAATGTACGTATGTATAAAACAAATTTATATATTATTGTGAACAGTTAATAATAATAATAAATATATATTAATAATAGCTTTCTATTTGTCCTCATACAACATACTCGCACTGACATTTCAATCACATATTATGATGTAAAATATACAATGAAGCAATTACGTTGCATTGCATCTTCAAATATAAGCGGTATAACGAGAGCTAAAAACCAGAAAGATATATGTCTCACATGTGCAACGGATAGCGATTCGAACTAACACGAGTTTTATTTTCTCGCAGGTGAGAACATGTTCCGACATTGTTGGATAAGCAT